AAAAGTAATTGTAACCATATGTTTTAAAAGATTTTTGTTCAGTGAAGTGGGCTGTTATGGTGTAGCAGAAACAGAATGAGAAAAAACTCCCAAGTCAGACAGACCTTGATCTGAACTCAACAATCTCTACTTATTAGGAAAATTGCTCTACCTTTTTAATTTCTAGTGTCTTCACTGTCTCATTAGCATTTTGTGAAGATCTTAGGTGAGGATAAAGCAACGATCTGAAATTCAACAAAGTAGAATTGGAATACCAGTTCCAAACTTTATTGTAGTTAAAACCTTGGGGCAAATTTCTTACCCTTCCCAGGCCTCAATTTTTCATCTGTAATGTGGAAAAGCTGTTATGTTTCATAAAGAGTGTTTATTTATAAATATTGTCAGGAAGTATTGTATACTGTAAAGCGTCTGGCAAATGTTAGATGCATTTATAATGTCATTTTTATGAGATATTAGAACATCAGAAAAGATTACAAGAGTTTGACATATTTTTGCCCTTTAAAAATGTTACAAAACTTGTCTACTGATGAACATATATTTCCATTGTATGATAGTTTCTCATTTTGCTTTGTGTTCATCAACCCCTAAAGTGACTTACGTTGAGTTGATTTATACACTGGAATCTCTTCTAGGGGCTTTAAAAACATTGCATTATCCTGGAGTGGTGGCACATGCCTATAATCCCAGTGACTTGGGAGGCTGAGGCAAGAGGATTGCAAATTCAAATCCAGCCTCAACAATTTAGCAAGACCTTAACTCAAAATGAAAAGGACTAGGGATGTGGGTTAGTGGTTAAACATCCCTGGGTTCCATCCCTGGTACCAAAACAAAAACGAACAACAACAACAAAAAACACTGTAGCATGATTTAATGTCCGTTTTGAATTGGAGATGGGGAGTAGTGATCCCACATCGTGGAGGAGAGTGTTTGGGTGCACCCAGGCAATGTGATTTGCCTAGCTGTGACACGTGACTGGGGGACAGATTGAAGACAGCCTTGTTTTGTGTGATTCCAAGGCCAGTGCTCTTTCTTTCCTTCACACTCTCATTTTCCTCAGTGTCTACTGATGAACATATATTTCCATTGTATGATAGTTTCTCATTTTGCTTTGTGTTCATCAACCCCTAAAGTCCAATGGTAAAAGGTCTGCAGGTTTGCCCAAGGCCCAGCTATGACACTGGGGCTGTAGTGTATCCATATTGTTGGAATAGAGTCCTCAGTGGTCCATTTTTTGATTTGTTAAGATGTCAACATTTAGAACACATTTTGGACAAATGCTACAGAAGATATGTCATCTTGATGGCACATTTTCCTGTCCTACCCACATAACAAATTTGCTCTTAGCAGAAAACACCTGAGACTCTTTTGAATCGTGTTAAAGATGGATTGCAGCCCATTTTGTAGTTCTTATTTTGATTCCATGAATTATTAATCTTCCTAAACTTTATTATTCATACTAGGTAATGCAAAATGACTTTCTCCAAAAGGCAAGATAATGACAGACTTAATTAGCTTCATGACCACTCTAGTAAGTCAATAATAAATACCTAACATTTTATAGATGACAAAGGGCAGTTAACTGACAGCTGTGAGAAGACATTTGAAATAAACCCGGTGTTCTTGACTTTTACTTATGACTGTCCTATGCACTGAGAAAAACAGTTAGAAAAGATTATCTAAGGTGATTTTCTTCTTCAGAAAATGCCAAACATCAACACACTGCAGATGAACTTGTATATAATTTTGACTTGGAATTTGGTTACCTGCGAACTACGTTATTGGAAAAATTTTCCTCTCCCTCAGATTGTGTCTCTCTTAGGAGCTTAATATCCTTTAAAGATCACACAGTTGTATAGGCATCCACTTTAGCTCCCACCAAGACAACATAGATTTTTAAGGCATACCTTCTAGAAGCTGATATTTCTTCTTAGGTCATTACACACACTCTCTCTCTCTCTCTGCAAGCAGCTGTCATCAGGTAGAAAACGGGGCCAGAAATATTTAACTGACAGCCTTTTTAAGACTGTGAGCATTATTATTCTGGACATGGTTCTCTTCTCTGTTCACTTTATATTCAGTGAGGATGATGAGAATATGGCTTAGGAATTTGATAGTTTGTCCCCTATAGAAACATAGCTCTTTAATGCTTTCTGCTTAATCATTTCCCATGTTTAAATGTTCTTAATTCAATTAAATACTGTACGAATTAAAATAGATTCTAATGACAACAAGATTTTAAAAAATGTAGCTCTAGGAATATACTGATGAATTTCCTTTCATCTTGATCAATTACTGCTCTTTCTTGGATTGCTAGTTTATCCTGAGAACTTTGATAGGTCATAAACCTTCTCAGGTTATTTGTGATAGGAGCTTGTATCTTAGACACACAAACATACACACACAACTTTGTTTTATACATCTCACAATAGTGAAGAATCATGAACTATTTTAATTCTAATAATGACCTCTTTCAGCTGTAAGTCTGTCAATATATTTTTCTAATTCAGAAGTTTATTTTTTTCTTTTTTATACATATATACATATGAAACATTATATATAAAGTATATATTTTGATAACATCAAATGCTAAATATCAACACACTTCAGAAGCCACTTTGTTTTAGAAAGTCACTTTGTAAGAAAGTTCCCAAAGAACTAGGAGACTAGATATCTATCTGTGCTGCACTGGTGTGCTCTCCCCATAAAGTTGAAGTTTATCTATGCATAAAAGTATCTCCATGGCTGCTCTGCCAGCACAGAGCCCCTTTGGCTTTAGGCTGATTTAGAATAATACAAATGGTTCCCACTCCAAATAGGTAGTTTTTCAGGATCTAGCTCTAGGTGCTTTTCCTTTTTGAGCATTTTACAATATAACAACTGGACACTTTTTCATATGTGGATTGAGATTTGGCCTTGAAATCACTCTGGGACCATTTGATATTTGTTATTCAAAACAGAATAGAACCAGTCCCTGAAAAGGCAACCTTCTTTGGAATATCTACAGCCTCTATTACAGTGCTGTTTGGCCCACTTGGTAAATTCTACGGCAGAGAAATTTATAGAGAGTTTTAGTTTTGGAACAGAAAGAAACAGGTGGAGGTCATCTAGTGAGGGAACTCTAATTTACAGATGAATAATCAATGAGGAAATCAGGGTTATTTAGCTATCAGTATTTTCATTAGTAACTTCGTCCATCCATCCAACATGTTCAGAGTCCCTGATATGGATTCTGCAGCTGTAAAGTGTAAGAATAGTCTTAACACATATGCACTCCCAGTCCATTAAAGAGTAAGCTTGACAAATATGTACCACATCAAGTGAAACTTTAGATCATAAAGGTGCATTCAAAGCAGTTGTAGATGAATTATTGACAGAGGAAATAGTAGTTGCATTTTAAGAAATGGGCAAATAATTACCATGTAGGTTAGGAGAGAGGCCTAACAGAAATCAGGAAAGAGCACAGCCACTTTGGAAGACACTGTGTGTTAGTGTGATTGGCACAGGAGACTTGATAGCAAGGAGAATAAGTAATGGTGGAGTGCTGGGTGGCAGTATCATTGGGGTCAGCCCATGCACACCTGGACATTCAGTTGGGAGAAAAGGTAGAGAGCTCTGGGGGTTTCTCAGAGAGAACCTTCTAAATCTGGGTTGCCCCAAAGCATAGTAACTTATACGACATGTTTGTGGGAAAAACAAACTTCCAAACTGTGGGCTGTGAAATGGGGTGGAACAAATGTTCTTTAGATTCTTTAGTGTTACTAAGCAGAATATTTATATGTCAACAGTTCTGAGTAGGATTTATTCAATAATCCAGCATTTTGGGGGGATACAGAGTTCAGTTCTCCTTTTACTGAAACATGGGTTCTAGGAAGATAGAGCCCTCAGGGTTACCTTATACCTGACATTGTACCCAGAAATTCATAGGCATTTAATCAATATTTGCCTATTGAATGAATCAATCATACATGAATAGCTAACAAGACATTTTTTGGGAGAATATTAGCAGTCATTATCAAATGCAGTTGCCTGAGATCAAGAGGACTGAAACTTAGGGGCTTCTAGCAGATAAAATCAATCTGAAAGAAGTTCTTGTTATAAAAGAAATGAGGTAACCAATTTCAAGTAACGAATTTAGGCTCTGTAGTCATTAATGATTTTCATCTTGATCTTTAAAAGCAATAAGGTATACATACACATATAATGCATGCACTTATGTATATGTATATATATGTTTGTATGCATGCAAAAATATGGGTATTTGCAGTATGGTCATTATAATATGTTGTTCTGTCGATATCCTGTTGCTGCTTCCTTCAGACTATGAGTCTTGTGGGATGAAGTGTATTTCTGAAGTCTTACAAGTTGTAGAGGGCTACCTTTGGGAGGTTGGAACATAGACAAAGGCAACAAGATGCCTGGGACATGTCTTCAGTAAGCTGGGTGATCCATTTGCCACCCTCAGTTTTGCAGTGATTGCATCCAAGAATAGATGTAATTTCTAGAGATTGCATAAAAATGTAAAGTCTTATTTTAAGATTTGCTTAAAGTTTTTTAATTCCAGAAAAAACATATTTCTTTTGAAAGAATAAACCTTTGTGTCACAAAGCAGAGATGCCTATTAGTCAGCTTTCTGGGTTCTGCAAGTTTGTAGATGAAACTCTTCTTGTATTTTGCAATGCCATGCCCAGTTGGCTCTTAATAAAGATTCATTTATCCTTTTCACACTGATAAGCATGGTCTATATGGGATAAACTTTTCTCAGCTCCCATGAATAGAACCCAGTACTGCTAATGGAAGATTTGTACATTTCTGTGGAGGTGAAGAGGCTTTGATACAATCCACATTTAGACTTTCACAGTTATTTTTATTTAGCTGTCTTGAGATTTCAAGGATGATGTTTCTTTATCCCCAAATGCTGTTTGACATTGCTTGTAGGTATTTGGTGATGGGTCTGAGGTTGTAACTTTAACAGGTGTAAGTATTTCTTTCCTCTGTTTCAGCTGAGAAGTTTTGAGAGTGAACTATTCACAACCATTAAGAGACCTCCAGTTTAATTTCTCATCATGCTTATTCTGTAGTTCACATTAAGTCCAGAGTACTGAGGACGGAACGAGTGGACTCTCTAGACACCAGATAGTTGGCCATGGTATTGACCATGGCATCTGAGGATTCCCAGAACTTCTTCCAGTCTTTTTCTTCCTGGATATCCCGAGTTTATGAAGCTCTCCAGCAAGCAGGGGAAACGTTATCAGCTCCTCTGGTGCATTTAAGCAAACAAGACTCTAAATTGAGTGACACATTAGACCAGGACTTAGATGATATTAAGATTCAGGAGACATTCTTTGAAGATGAAGAACAAGACAATGATTGGAGCCAAGAAGATGCAAATGACTTGTTTATTGAAGAGGATCATTTATCATGTTGTAATACTGATTTGCAGGACTCTGTCCAAATTTCAAGCCCCAGACTTAGCCAACATGCAAAGGACTCATGTTCTATAATATCTCAGTGGCCCAATCAGACCCTGAATGACCCCAAGGCCCCACATGTGCTTTCTTCTATTGCTGAGGAAGAGCATCACCTTGAAAAGCAAAGATGTGGCCTTCAACACAGCTTTGACAGCCAGCTTCCTGGCACTTTAGAAAAAGTTAATGGAAAAAAGCAAGGTAAGCTAGCCAGTATCATTTTCTCTGAATTCTTCCAAAGGACTTTTCTATTTGTTTTATTTTGGCTGGTTTTTAGTTATATTGATTTTATTTTTTTCTCTCTCTTATACCTTACCTCATTCTGGCTTCTGACTGAGAGATAAAAATCTGTAAGAACACTTTCAGTACATAAAACTTTGGAAGATCCATTTTGTGAGCTCCATATTGCAAAAACAATAGTTCTGAGCAATTGAAATGCTTAAAATGAATCCATGGATTCCATTTGAGAAGCCCCTTGTGCACATGTCATGCTTTTAAAAATATCTTTTAAAATGTTCTTTTTTTCCCCTCTGGGTTAGGAATTTCTAGATGTTACTATATTATTCAGTGTGAAATCCTGTGCAAAAAGCCATACTTGTTGCAGAATTTTTAGTTGATTACACTCCAAGAACAATTCTCACAGTGTTTCATTGAGATGTGATGTGAGATGACAGTAGATAGGAAATCTTTGAAATAGGAATAGCTTCCTTTTCTTTCAGCCTTGCACGATAAGGACACATTTAATAAATGCTGCCTATGAAGCTTCATGCTGTCAGAGCTGAGCGCCTATTGGGCCTTCAATAAATGCATAATGAATATGATAACAATCTAATTAACTCTGTGAAAGTAGCTGTCCTCAGTTCCAGCAGAAATTTCTTATGCTTCTAATACTCTAACCTGAAGTAAGGACATTCTACTGGGTTAAGGACAGATGCAATGATATGCATAGAAGGGGGTTGGGATGTGTTTATAATGTGTAGCTCACACAGATTAGTAGGTAATTAATGGCATATATAAAATCCATTATTCCTTTCTTATTGGAGGGAACAGATTTTTCAAGGATATTTACTAGTCTCTTCATCCATTTTCAGTGTTCCTCTTAGCTTTATCTTTTTAGAAAAGTATCTTGTCCAAATACAGGAAGTGTTATCGAAGGAAGCATAATTTCATATTCCTCTTATAATGCTTTTTTGATACCCTCACTCAGATTAAAGAATGAAATCCTAGAATAAACTGGTAAAAATGAGATAGTCTGATATTCTTTCTGAATCTAATAATCTAAAGTCTTGCAATGTTGAGTCTTTTTAAATTATCTGTAGCGATTCATCTAGAAGTATTTGGACAGCAGTAGAATTTCTTAGAGTTGAGTTGAATTTCTGTTCATATTTTCAAAAATTCTTGCCCAAGTTGAAAAGTATTTGAAATTAATGTGTATCTGACCCCAAAATACTTAACACTGGTTTTGTAAATTTTTTAATATAATCTAATAGCAGGAAATCAACTTGTTTATTTATCCACTTAGGAGCTATTTATTCACTATATTGTAATCCTAAAGGCAAGAACCTTGCCCTAGCTTTGTCTCTGTATTCTTAGCTGTGAGCATAGTGTTAGGTATATAGTAGGACATCAACTAAAGACTAATGATGGAATAATGACAAGGAAAGCTAACAATGCTAAAAGGAACATACTGCTGTTTTTCTTACTTTATAGTTGAGAAAAGGGACAGTTAGAGAGTTTGAAACAAGATTCACACTTAGGAAGCTGCAGAGTTTAGGCAGTCTGATTTTAGAATTTACATGTAAACACTTTCTTTTAAAAGGATAATTACATATTATAAATTCATCTTTATTGTACAGTTCTGTACAATAAGGGATATTTGGGGATCTCCAGTTTAATTTCTTTTCCAAAATTAATATCTATTATTTCTTTTTCTTGTCCAATTACTTTGAATAGGGCCTCGTTATCATGTAAAAAAGAATGGTAACTACTGTCATGTATATTTAAAAAGAACAAATAAAAAAAAGGAGTGGTAAGATGTGGTAAAATTTATATTCCTGCTTTGATATTAAACTAGGTGTAAAAGCTCTCAGTCTTTTATAACTTAGTGGTTATGTTTCTGTAGCTGTTTGTTGTATGTTGAAGTTCCCTTCTGATCTAGCTTGCTGAGAGCTTTTGATCAAAAAAGAATGTTGAATTCTGTTAAATGTTGTTTTTCATCTCTGGGGATGATCACATGATTTTTCTTATTTAATATGTTGAGATGAATTACATTGATTAATTTTCGAATGTTGAACCAGCCTAGTACAGCTTGGATAAAATCCACTTGGTCTTGGTATATTATTATTCTCATTTATTTCTGAAATTGTTTTGCTAGTGTTTTGTTTAGAACTTTTTCATCTATTTTCATTAGGGATATTGATTTTTGTAGTCTTCTTCCTATTTCTTTATCTGGTTTGGTATCTGCATAATGCTGACATATAAAATGGGTTGTTAAGTATTTACCTTTCTTATAATTCAGAAAAAAATGTTGAAAGTTATTATTTTAAAATTTTTTTTAGTTATATATGGACACAATATCTTTATTTTATTTATTTATTTATGTTTATGTGGTGCTGAGGATTGAACCCAGTGTTTTATACATGCGAGGCAAGCGTTCTACCACAGAGCTACAGCCCCAGCCTGAGAATTATTATTTTTTATGGCTTGCAAAAAAATAAAAGAATTACAGTAGACTTCTCACATGAAAATTATACAAGTTATGAAATGGTGTCTTTTGTCCACTCCTAGAATTTTTCAGTAAAGACTTTTGAGCCTGGAATTTTCTTTTTTTTTTTTTTCTGGAATTTTCTTCATGGGAAAGTTTTGAAATGCAAATTCAATTTCTTTAATAAATATAAGATTATCTGAGTTATCTGGCTTTTTTCTAAGTTAGTGCTTTTCAAGAGTTTTGTTTGTTTCCTCTATGAGCATACTACTTCTTTACTACCCTCTTTCTTTCTTTTTTTTTTTTTAGTTTAATGGGGTTTGTTTTATTTTAAGTTTTAAACATAATTACTGAATAATTAAAGATACATGGCATTCTTATATATATATTATCTGTATACATGTTGGTGATTATATATATATATTTATCTGTATACATGTTGTATTCTAGTCTATAAATTAATTTGAATAAAATTTTTTATGTGTTTTGCTTAAATTAGTTCCCTTCAAATCTGATTAGATAGAGCCAAACTTTTATCATAAACCTGTTAAGGACATACTCTGTTTTCCCTCTATTCTTTATCTTTGCCATAATGTTTGGCACACTATGACTTCATAAGTGTGCTATCCTCCATCCTCATAACCATGTTCTGTTTAGGTATTGGTTGTATGGCATTTGCAGATAAATGGATGGAATTGGAGAATATAATGCTAAGTGAAGTTAGCCAATTCCAAAAAACCAAATGCCGAATATCTTCTCTGATATAATGCGGCTGATTCATAGTGGGGGCTGGGAGGGGGAGCATGGGAGGATTAGACGAACTCTAGATAGGGCAAAGGGGAGGAAGGGGAAGGGAGGGGGCATGGGGGGACAAAAGATGGTGGAATATGATGGGTATCATTATCCTAACTATATGTATGAAGACATGAATGGTGTGAATATACTTAGTATATAACCAGAGATATGATAAATGTGCTTTATATGTGTAATATGAATTGTAATGCATTCTGCTGTCATATATAACAAATTAGAATAAAAAATAAATTAAAAAAAGAAGCATATTGTAATACAGACTGTTGTTTTAGTTTCCAACATCAGCTGGATACACAAGAGAGGCAGAGAGAGAGAGAGAGAGAGAGAGAGAGAGAGAGAGAGAGAGAGAGAGAGAAAGAGAAAATTATCTGTGCATAGCAACCTCTTGTGCATTAGACACTGTAGATCTAATAAAAGGAGTGAATAGGTTATAGCACTGGGAATCCACTATTGGCATGATGTTGAATTCCAGGTAAGCATGCTGCATCCTCAATAGACGAATTTTAGCCTATCTATTAGACATAAAACAATGCAAGTGAGGATTTCTGTAGCAAAACCGAGGCATCAGCCTCCTTGCCCCACCTCAGGGTACAGCCCCTCTCCTCTTGGTAATGCTGTCTCAAGAAATCAGAGGACACAGTATTACTGAAAAATTACTTTATGCAGTACAAAGTGCAGAGACCCCAAAGCAAACACTATCAATAAAGCATTCCAGATTATAGTTTTATGGTCCTATTTTTCTAAAGATACTTTAGTGATTCCATTGCTTCTGGCTGTTCACAACAGTCACCATCAAAGTCATTATTCATCATTTAGCATATTATATGACTTGAACCTAAATTCCATAGTTTCTTATAAATCTATTTGCTCTCTATGCCAATTCTCTTTTTATCTCTCTCTAAAACCTCTGCACCATGGCTTCATGGACTTACCTACTTCTCTTTTCTAGCACCATCACTTTTACACTCTACCCTGTCAGAGCATCCCCATATAGTCTCACCTAAACTCTCATTATCCTCTGCAAAATTTCTTCAGTAGCCTTACTACTCTCCTAATGTTTATGGTATTTATAGCGCGGTTCTCTCTTTTTTTCTTGATACTGGATTTTTGTTTGGGGATCTGTCTAGTAGAGATTGACTATCTATTTTCTAAGGAATTGGTTTTTGTTTTTATAGATTTTTCTTTTTTCTTTTTTGCCTTTTGATTTCATTCAATTGGTTACTGAGAGTAGTATGCAAGTCTTGAACTCTACAAGTGGTTTGGCTATTTCCATTTTTCATTTCTGTTAGTTTTTGCTTCTTGTAGTTTGAAGCTTTCTTATTAAATATTCACATTTTAGAAAAATATGTCTTCTTGGTGAATTGATATCTTTGTTACTTTGAGATGTACCATTTTATCTTTTACTATTTCTTGTCCTAAAGTACTTTTATGTCAGTGAGGCTGCCCTACTTTGCTTTAATCAGTGTGTTTATAGTGTGTTCTTTTCCACTATTTGACTTATACCTATTTTACATTTATGGTGGATACCATGTGTATAGCATAGAATTAAGTCTCACTTTTTAATTCAAGATGACAATCTTTCATTTTTAATTGATGTGTTTTAACTGTATGTATTGATATTATTAAATTAAAATCTGCCATCTTGCTAGATTCTTTTCCTTTTATTCCACCTCTTCTTTGTATC